ATACAACAATGAAACGTGCAGGGTATAATTCAATCGGTTCATACCGACTGAAACGTTTTTACTTGTTAAGTTTTAGTTTTGTTCTATTTTTGAGTTTCCTTTAATTTTCAATTGACCTTTTTAATAAAAAATGACAATAATCAATCTTGTTCACAAGTTCACAAAGAATGAATTAGAATGCAATTATAATGCCTTCATACAGAATTTTTAATATTAACTATTAAAATACCATTGAAACATCGCTAATAGAAATAAATGAAATTCATACCGATATTTTTATGAAATGAAATACATACTTAGGTACCCTAATTTTTAATTCTGTGAACTTCGGGTGTTTTACATATAAAAACATTTTTAATGTTTTAAAATTTTATTTGCATAACATAAGATAGGCCATAATAAGAGCATAATTCTTGTTTTTTTTTTAAACAGGAAGAACACAAAATTTTCAAGAAATTTAAGAGGATGGGAGAATTTATTCGCTAACAACATGATTTTACTATTAAAATGAATATGTGTATATACGTACATATATATGTATATACATATACACATATTCACAGAAAGTTTATAATATGCACACCAATCAAACAACTGTAGCGTGCAATTGTAAAATGAAGATAAGAAGAAAAAGACTAAGCGAAAAGAAAAAAATTAAAAACCCGTTCATGTTTTGCTCTACTTCTACATTCAACCATACAGCAGCGCCCTCTAAAAGTTTTCACATTCATTTATTTTAATTTTTCATTTTGTTTGTAAGAAACTCTCGAACAAAGGAAACAAAAATCGCTTAAAATTAGATAGTGAAGTTGTGCAGAATTTTTTTGTTTGTTTTTTTTTTATCTTGTTTGGTTGGATTAGCGACTAGCGTTTTTTTTCTGTCATCTAAGGTTTTTATATTTTTTTAAAATTCTTTTTGTTTTTGTAGCAACAATGCAATTTATTTTAATTTTCCGTCTCGTAAAAGCGCGCTTTTTTTTTTTGATTTTGTTCAATTTATTTTTGTTTCTTTTTTGTTTTCTTTTTTACATGTCGTCATGCAGTGTGAAAAACGTAACCTATCGTAACATAAATTCTTCTTATTGCTATTTGATTCTTCAATTTATCTGCTAAAATCAGGAGCGTAACAAGTAACAATTTTTTTGTTTTTGTTTTCCGAACGTTTTAAAAACTTTAATTAAATTTGTGAAGGCAATCAACGGATGTGGAAAAGAGACAATATCAGTAAATAGTGTTTGGAATATTGGAATCATTTGAAGAGAAATATGAAAGAAAAATTAAAATTTTTATTTAGCACTCATCGTAATTACATAAGTACGTGGAAATCCTGTTTTACTGGATACGTAATAAACAGTTTTGTTTCTAGATAATTTAAGTGTAGTGCCTTTTGATTATGTAAACTATAAGAGTTTAAAAATGCCAATTATTTGCCAATTTTAAAAAAGTTTTTTGTAATTGTGGTTAATTCCTAATTTTGTAAGCCTTTAAAACAAAAACAACAATAATTTTTCGAAACACTCAAACTGCTTCAAGTACAGTCTGAAATACACGAAATTTGAAATGTCATTTAAAAATTTTAAGATTTAAGAATTGCTTGCAAGAAATTAACTCATGTGTATATACATATGCTAAAGTTTATTAATGATTTTATCTTAAGCACAGTTTACACAATTAATTTTTTCTTCAAGTTTTAAATTAATTATGTTTAAAATAAAATATAATTTAAAAGTTGTCTTTCGCATCCAAAATACTATCATGAAAACTGCTCGAAAATTTGTTCCAAAACCTGAGTACAAAATAAAATTTTAATAACGTGATTAGATTGTTATGTAAAAATTTTTATTAAATCATCGAAAATTTTTTTATAGCTCTTACGCTTTACATACATATGTCGTGGACTCTAAGTGTGGAAACTGTATTATAATACTGCATTTTTGTACTACATTCGATATTAATATAAAAATTCTTAAGAATTTCATTGTTGAACTCCTTACTACTTCATTTTAACTCCAATTTCAAAATACATCAGCAGCATATGAAGTTCAGCATTTAAATATAAGAAAATTTGATTTTCTCATTTAGACCTACATATATAAATTATGTACATACAGGATTTATGTATGTACCTAGAAAGAATATAATTGTAATGAATTTTTGCAATAATGACAATTTTAATTATGTATTTCAAAAAACCGGTTCAAACCGCAGAATTAACTCATTTTACATGAAATAAGAGCAAGAAAAGCAGAATAAAAGAGAAGAAGGTATAGAAATTGATATATAGAACATTGTTTACATTCATACAAAAACATGTATGTATTAAGATATATTTGTTTGTATGCAATAAGAAAAATATATACATACGTACATGCATACATTTAGGAAGTGAGTAATTGAACCGGCGCGAAAATTATTCATCAACCGTCATCATCGTAATCATTTTCGTTTTTTATCATATAATAATCTATATGAGAATTAAATTATTACTAACAGGAACATCAACAATATGATTATCTATGTATGTATCATATGTTTGATCAGTAGATATTAAGTTTATGTACGCATAGGTATGAACCGACTTATATAGGTACCATGTATACATTTTGTTTATACAACTTAGTTTAGCAGTTGATCTAATTAAAATTTCCAGGTTTTTTAATCATCTTCCATACTTTTTATATGTACATACATATATGCATTCGAAACCAACAAGTAGCTAGTGTAATAAGTATGTTTGTGCATCTGTATAATATAAATACTTAGATATGAATGATATTTTAAACATTTCATTTATTTTTGGGTTTTTAACCGCATTGAGTGATAAAAAAAATAATTTTATATTTGTTCCTGTGTCGTATTGTAACACTTTTTTTTGTGCTTATTTCATAACGGAAGAGTATAATTGTCACCTTCTTCCGTTCTTTTCAATTAACTGAACACAATTCGTAACGAAATCTTTTTGAAAATTACAATTAAAATTATGTTTTTCATAAGTTTCAATTAAATTTGAGAAATTATTGTTCCATAAACAGAAATTTCAATATTGGTAAAGTTTGACTTTATTTCTTATTTTAATTATCCTATATTTTTAATGCTTTTCTTAATTTTTATTATAATTATTAGTGCTTTTCAAGTTCAATAGCTGATCTTATATTTTACAAGTAGCATAATTAACAGTTTGTGACTGTGACTGGAGAATTTTAGAACGTTTCTTGGAGAGAATTTCAAAAGTTTGAATTATTATATAACGTATTCTGCGTTGTTGAGGATCGATAGAGTTTGAATTTGTACTATTTCAAATCTCGTTACTGGGCACTAGTCAGTGAAGTATCACTTGCATAAGTTGGGAAAATCGGGTTTCATCTTTCGCAGATTTTGTGGCACAGTGACGAAACTGTCGTACACATTCTTTACGATTTCCCTGTTACTGCGCAAATATTTTGGGCAGGGTTTCTCAAGCATTCGAAAGGTGCTGTCCAATTTCCTTGAGCATATCGCGAGCTTTACCCTTGGAACAGGGATATTATAGGCGGAAGCGTAGGCAGACTAAAATTAATTGCTAATGGCTGTAGGTCGGTGGAAGACGTTTTCTTGCCTCTTTCAAACACTTACATCAACTCGATTAAAGTGGATTATTGAAACTAAATTAAGATTCCTATCATCTTAGTAAAGTTGGGACTCCATGCTTCCCTTAAATAAAGCATAATAATCCCATGGTTCACCAAATAGCGTATTTCCTACAGATTAATAGTCAAAATATAATGAAATATGTTTCTTTTAATTTTTAATATAAAAAACTTAAATTTTTAAAAGATTCAAAATAACTTTGATAATTTTAGTTTTATTTAAAATTTTTACTTAGATTTTTTATAAATATTTGGTGTTTTACTTCTTTATTTTTCTTTAATTTTATTCTTTATTGTGAATTTTAAAAGCAAAAAATTCAAGATACTGTGAACAAGTTTTCTCATTTTTTTTTGTTGAGTTATAAAAGCCCCTAATTATCAAATTATTTAACATTTTTAGTTCTTAATAAAAACCAATAAAATTATATAAAATTTGTTCCAATACTTTTCAAACAACCCTTACTTTGTTCATTTCAACAGTAATAATTCAAATACCAACAAGTTATTCTAGTAAACAAAACATAATATCCTTAATGACGCACACTATAATGAAATTGCATAAAAATAAAAGGTATTCGTTAAGCAAACTTATCATAAGATAACGGAACAACAGAATTGTTTTTTAATTGAAATTGTAAGTAGTAAAATGAAAAATAAATGGAAATGAAAGTTAAGTGAAATAATTATAAAATTAGGTACTTCTAAGTGTGTCAAAATCAAAGACTGTAAGGTAATATTCTTGCCATTCCAGTAAATTTTTGACTTTAAACAACGATCCGGAAAAACTAGATTCAACATTTTTAAAATTTCAGCATTTTATGTATTCATTCAGCATTTTGCAACCTTCAAAAAAATAAAGCGCAAAATAAATTACAATTGCAACCTCTATTACATTGTTTCTCGTTATCAACTCTCTAACCTCATACATAGAACTGTTGCGAACGAAAATTTAACTAAATAATTCCTTTAAGAAATTTTTCGAATATTTATAAAAATCCTTCTGCAAACAAATACATAAAAGACTTATTTCTTTTAAAGGCTCTAGAGACAACGGTTGCTTTTGTCATAATTTGTACAAAATTCTTTTTAGGGGAAGAATTTAATGCAATTATGATGTCTATAGCGACGACTACTAAATAACTTTAATGAAAAAAAATTTATTTTGAAAAAAGAGGTGAAGCACCTTTTAATATTTTTTAAGTCTATTGAATTAAATATTTTTTAGTTAGTTTTTCTTCAATATTCGAAAATTAAGTTTAAAATTTTATCCATACTTGGCATTGATTTTTAAATTATAAAAATTAACACATAATATTTCCCTAATAATTGATTTCATTAATAATTAATTTTACTTTCTCTTATTCTATTCAACAGGAAACAAATCAAATAACCAAATGTGAGGTGTTTTGAGGGAAAAAAATATGGAAATGCCTATACAAGATAAAAAGATGTTAGAACGCAAAGCCGTTCAAACAGTGATACAACAATGGAATACAAATCGCATAGATTTATTTGCACTCTCTGAGCCAGATGAGGTTTGTTTACATTCCAATAAATTCTTTATTAAATAACTAACAAAATGTTGTACATAACGTGGAGTAAATTTAAATAATCTGTAATTTATTTTTAGAATCTATTATTTCATGGTGTTATGCGATTTTATTTTCAAGATGCTGGACAAAAGGTAGCAACAAAATGTATTCGAGTAGCATCGGATGCAACTGTTTCAGATGTGATAGGTTTGTATATAAATTTAAATAATAATTTTTATTCCATTTTGAATAATTTTTTTTTTTAATTTTAGAAACTTTAGTTGAAAAATTTCGTCCGGATATGAGAATGCTTTCAGTACCAAATTATGCCCTCTATGAGGTACATGCAAATGGTGAGGAGAGACGATTAAATCCAGATGAAAAACCATTATTAGTACAACTGAATTGGCATATTGATGATAGAGAAGGACGATTTCTTTTAAGAAATATAGATCAAAAAACGACGGTAAACATTTAATTACAATATCTTTATTACAACGAGAAAGCTCTCGAAATATTTTCATTATCTGCAATGGTTATTTGCAATTTAAACAAAAAAAACTTAAAACTAGTGTTATAACGTAAGGAGGTCAAACCATTTTAGGAAAGGTTTTAACATTTCATCGCATATTTCTCTCTTTGGATCGAAAGTGTCCGTTTTCAAAAATTATATAATGTTTCAATGCGCGCCTTATAAATGTTTCAAACCTAAAATTATTTCTTCGTGTTTTAGAGAAAATTCACATCACGCCTAAAATTTTATTAACTTTAGAGATCTTGTTGCCTGACATGTCAACTTCAAAAAAATGTTCTTGTAAAAACCTTATAACTCAAAAAAAATTCTTTTCTTTAATCTATTAATCTATTAATCTTCAATCTCTAAATTTCGTTTCTTTAATATCATTATTCTTGTTTGTTTAGTATTTTAATCAATTTGCTTTTGAAACTTACGAAAACCGTTCCTATATTAACCGTTCTACATGATACTTATTGACTTTTTAAAAATAATTCCACCAAACTTTTAAAGCTATTTAAGAAATTTTTTGCAATAGCCAACTTGATGCTTTAATTTCAGTGTAGTTAATATATTTCTGGTTATTGCAGAGATTTTTCAAGTTAAAAAATAATTTTAGATTTAAATGCTTTCCACATTTTCTAAAACCTTTTTCCTTTCTTCTATCTTTTACACGAAATTAATATCTTGTTTAAAATTCTATGAATTTTAATTTTCCAAGGAAATCGCTTATTTTATTATTTGAAGCCCCTCATATAAAGTAGCTGTATTGAAATTTTTGAGTTAACATATTTTTCGGAATCATTGAGCTTCTTCGGTTTTTTTATTCATATTTCAAATGCTGGCATTACAAATACATTTCGTGCTGAGTATGCTATTTATTTTTAGGATTTTAATTTGCTTTAATATTCCCTTTTGGGTCTATTAAGTTCGATTTTCGAAAAAAAATTTTAAAATGTAGAGCTGGGCAATATCTTTTCAACGATATGGCAAATATTCGATTTAAATTTTGTATTCCAGAATAATTGTGATTTAAACAAGTTGCGTCGGTATCAAATACATACAAAAAAAATATGCTCACAAGCACAAACGAGTTAATATAAAGTCTTTCTGACTCATACATCTAAAAATTTCATTAAAACCTAATAAAAAACTTCTCCCATTGCTTGAGTATTTTTTTTTTTTGAAATTTGTACAAGTGCATTTTAAAAACCGAAAAACAATCACTAATTTTTTTTTTTTAAATCAAAATTTATCCTTAAAGCTAAATTAAAATTAATTTTTAGACAATTGAAAGTACAGACAATAATTTTAAAAGAAAACTATCGAAAAGGGAGAAAAAGGAACAAAAGAAGAAAGAGAAATTAGCAAAATTAAACTCTGAATCAGGTAGTATATCTGGTGTAGGAGGTGGCAATAACATTGGTAATGGTAGTAATGATGCAAATCATGTTGCAGAAAAATTATATACTGAATTACCAGAAACATCATTTACACGTTCAATATCAAATCCAGAAGCTGTAATGAGACGTCGTAGACAACAAAAATTAGAGAAAAAATTACAACAGTTTCGTTCGAGAGATGGTGGACCAGATACTGGTGGAACATTAAAGATATATGGAGAAAGTTTATGTCGTGATGTGCCTTATAAAACTTTATTATTATCGATACGAGATTGTGCGCAAGCAGTTGTTAGAGAAATGTTAACAAAATATGGTTTAGAAAAAGCTGATCCGCTACATTATTGTTTAGTTCAAGTAATTAAAAATTTAATTTACAAAATATTTATACATTATACTTATTTTATTTTCGTTATTAACCTTTTAATTTTATTTTAGGTTAATAGTGATGGTACAGAATATATATTAGATGATGATGAATGTCCTTTATCAATTTTAATGAATCATCCAACATCTAGAGGTAAGTGGATTGTTTTATTTTGTTTCGATTTTTGAACGTTATTTAGGTGCCATTTACAAAATGTGTCCCAAGTTAATTTAAAGAAATTTTAAAAGAGTGCTGGAAAATTAAGATTTTGTTTAACCATTTCGGGCTACTGAAGCGGTCTCGATCAATACAACCCTTTTTTTCCGTCTTTATTGTTTCCTAATTTGTCATGCTGTTTTTGGTTAAATAAAATTTCTATTTCAATTAAAATACGGCTTTCGAAGAATTGAGAGTTTTCTTAATTAAAGATCATCTGCACTTTATTTGCTAGATTAATTCGCATTTCTTAACAAATAGGTCAATAGTTTTCGGTGAAGATTTTACTTGTTTTACTTTTTCCTTTTCCAATTAATTGAAAATCAAACAGTACATGCATTTGATTTACATATTATAAGCGTCTTCAGAGATTTTGCATTACAGTGTATTTTTTATTATACGAGCATTGATCTTGTATTTGAGAAAATTTATTTTTTCTTTAACACATTTTAATTTCTTAATAATTTGTGATTGGTATTTGTCAGGATTATTGGAAGAAGAACATCACAATTTTCTACTCTACATAATTAATCGTGTAAATTGGAGCAATTTTTTCTAAAAAAGACTTGTGCGATTTAATTATTTCAGCGCTGGCGAGCCCAAAACCTTCCATTTAGTTTTCTTTCTTCATTTATTTATGTGATGTTGTTTTAATTCATCTTGGGTGACTGATTATCATTAGCATAATACATAGTTATAGATTTGCATTTGTATTGAGTTCTTTTCGTTACGCTTTCCGAAACGGCTTATCTTCAGATCTTAGATATTAAAAATATTCATCGAGTTATGTTCGTTCGAAAGGTGGTTCGCATATTGCAGTGTTTCCTATTTACAACAAATCCTATGCATGTATTTGTACTTGAAGAACTTAGAATTTCAACGACCGATTTTTGATTAATTTATTGCTTAAGCTTTTCAATTTCTATTTTGAAGAACTTTATATCATCTATTATTACGTAGATTTCATTTCGGAGAGCTATATTTTCTTTTAATTAGGCCATTGACAGTTTCTCTGAATGAAATAAACTTATTGTGTAACAACACCAATGATGCATCATGAATTGATTGCTTAGCCATAATGGTCTCATGATTTTTTACTATTAAGCTGTCTCGATATTTCATGTTGTTTCCCTGTTGATTGTTTTGATAAACTCTGATTTTTTCAGGATTAGCTCCAATCTCGGTCGTATTTTCATTTTAAAAGCTGCAACATGTACCACAGAATCATTTTATACATTTCTCACTATTGTCTCTTTCAATTTTAACAAAACAACATTGGGAAATTATAAAATTTTGATTTTAAGTATTGACAATTGGACTTATAGTAATTTCTGCCTCTGCAAAGAATCTCCGTACGTTTTCACATTTTACTGAATTTTACAAATACTGAATTTGACACTTAGTACTTTTTACACATCTACATTTTATTTAAGCATTTTTTTCGCATGACAATCTGAAATGGCTGTAAATAGAATAAAAAAATTTACAGAAAACATTTACAGAATTAAATCAGTATTAATCTGAAAATTTGAATAAGGATTATTTTGGTATTAAAACATGTGGCCCTGAAAAATTTCCTAATTATTAAATTTAACTTTTGTACAAATATTCACATAGGAAATAATTTCAGCAAATATTCACAACAACTAACTTACCAATTATAGCATTTTGTAGAACCTGTGAACTTGAAAAGTATGAACTACTTATCATCATCTTTAAAATTTTGTAGAATATTTCCTTCATTTTCTTTTTTTCATTTCAAGTACCTAGTTTCACACCAATTTCCTTTAAATAAGAATCCTTTGTGTTTATGCATTTTGTCATTCCTGAGTTTGTAAGTCTTATCGATCCTATTCAATTAGCTAATATACTAACTACTGAGATTATTCAGCTGCGCTTATAGTAGCTTCAAAAAAAACAAAAAAAAAAACGAACTACTTAATGGATTTATTGAACTTTTTCAATAATGACACTCATTAATTTTTAATTGTTTATTCCTCACGCTAATTGATTTTATATTTAAAATTCTGTTTGTTCTATGTGTTTTTTCTAATCAAGAACATAATCTTGTATTAATAAAAATCTTTGTCAACATTAAGTTTTCTTTTCATGTCTAAGAAATACAAATGACCCAGTTTATCGAATCAAAGGAAAGAACGAAATACGTTGTTTTATCAATAATCACAACATACTTATCATCGAATATTTGCGTGGATTTTTAATTTTGTTTTTATTGTTTTGTAAATTTTTTTCCCTCTTTTTGTAAGGATTTATAAAAGTAAGCAGTGTAAAAGGATTCAGTTTTACTTTTACCTTGTTACTGCTTAATTTGATCAGACAAGAAATGAAATAAATTGAATTAAAATTTTAATTGTTGATTTTAGAAAAAATTCAAGTAAATTTAATAATTAAATAAAATAAAATTAATATTAATTGATAAGAATTAAACGTAAATTTTAAAGTATTTGAATTAACTAAATAATTTACATTGAAAAAAATGGAATATTGTATGGGATAGTTTTAAAATTGTTCGTCTTTAATGAAAAATTTATTATCAAACTCTTTCCGATACGCAAAATAAAGTTTATTTAAAAAATTACAATTTTCAAAGGATTGTTCGAAATAAAACAAATTCAATGAAATTTTTTATAAAGTGTATTTTGTAATTTTAAGCTAAAATAATGTTTTTACTAGTCAATAACCCGATTTGGTTATTGGTTGTCTCAAAAAAGTGTAGTGGTTATTGAAAAATATTTACTTAAAATGCGGGCAATTAAAATTTAAATTATATTGATACTTTGATAAGATTTCGAAAATCCTTAAAGGACTTATTCTGATTCTCGTGAACCAGATATTTTGAAAAGGAGTTGAAAGTTGTTTTGAGCACATCACATAACATTCCTCATACAGGAAATTTTTAAACAACTTTTCGTAATACTTTAAGCGCAATAGTTGTGCTTTCTTGTCAAAAATTAATAATTTCTTTTAGGTATCAATTAAATAAATTTTGTTAAATTAAGGTAAGATTATTGAATTAGGCGTAATATTTCATTATAAATGTAGGTGTATACAAATTGACAATTATTATAAGTTCCTGCTACAGTAAAAATATTTACAGCACACACTCCATTTTATGAACATATTAAGAACACAATGTTTCGATCTAATCCAGTTTGAAAATTTCTTTGTAGTGAACTTGAAATGTTTTACTCTGCAATTTCTTTAAAATCAACAATTGAATAATTTGAAGTTGAAACTTTTTCTAAAATGGCCTTGATTACTAATATTTTCGATTTAGTTATGACTTGAATTGAATCATATGTACAAATTTGCTTGTAACGTTTTGTAACACATGATTATAGTAATATTTGTAAAATAAAAACATAAACAGAATATTAAAGACTCCTGATATTTAATCAAATTAGAAAACGAAACTAATTTTTTTTAAAAAATCAAATTTATCAAAAAAGAAGAGGTTTCGTCTTCAGATGGAATTTTTCGTATTAATCAATTTGAATATCTGTATTTGTTGCAAAGAGTTTCTACTGAATAATATTTATTTTTAAAATATAGGTCGAATACAAAGTATTTAACCCAATTATACATAGGAGTTGTTCCACTTTACGAATTTCAGCCTAAATATTTTGCGTATTATGCATAATGTTGTATTTTGTGTTTCACAAATATTTTGTAGTTAATTCAGATGATATGATTAAAATCACGTAAAAACTATTAATCTATTTATAAATTGATTTTGTTTATAAAAGAATAAATAAATAAAAAAACAATAGTTATAAAAATAAACTTTTTATGACATAAAGACAGTTGAATATTTTTGTTATAAAATTATTTATTTTGCCTATTTTTAGGCAAAATTGTTTTCACACTTATTTATTTGGTCAAAGAAATTGTGTTTTGTCACTCGTATCGCTCAATTTTTAATGTATTAGTTTTTCCATATATATGGATGTACATATAAAATTTATTTATATATATATATATGTATGTATGAACTTAAAGAAAATTCACCATTATAAAATAAGAAATTTAAATGAAATGTGGAACTGCAACGAATCCATAATATTTTAAAATTTATAAGCTATTATTGTTTTTCGATGTCATCGGTTGTCTAACAACGATTATATTATTATAAAAGAATTAATTTTATTATTTAAACACGAAAATAAAAAAAAAAACTTAAATATTCAACCATATTGTCTTACCCTTCTTTTCAATATTTTTCTTAAAGGGCACTAAAATTTCGTTTCAAGAAAGAAGAAACGAAAGAGACAATGTGTCGTGTTTATTTAAAATACTCAATAAACATTTGCATATACATATGTTCATATAAATCTACATATTTGTGTACATATGTATACATACTTGTAAAATAAATAGTTATGAATGCAAATAAAAAAAAATAATAATATGATTTGTTTCAGTAAACAAAGATTGATTTTTTCACTAGTTGATAGAAAAACAGAATAATGGTAGAATACTCGTAATATGCGTTACATATGCGCTTTTTGCTAAAATAAATAATAAATAAATGTTAGACAAAAAGAAAATTTGCTTTTCTCCTTATAAGTTTTGTAACAAAATAAAAAAGATATTAAAAGAAAATACAAAAGAAATTTTATATTGTTCTCGTTGACTGAAAGTGGTTGTTAGTAATATGAAGACCGATTCTCTATTTGCACAATTTTTTTTTCTTGTTTCTAGTTGAAAATTGTAAATATTTCTGTTTTGTACTGGATTTACTTAGGCTATATAGGATTAATTCGTATTTTTTATTTTTTAAATAATTTAAGAAATATCTAAATTAAATATTTGTCAATGTTATGATAACTTTTATGTTATTATACTTTTTGTATAAAAAATATGGTAAGTTTAAATTTAAATATTATATGAATTTGATTATATAATTAAAAAAAAAA